AGAAGGGGGGGGGGGGCGGAGCGCGGCCTACGAGGTCGCGCCCACCCGCCGCCCGCATGCGCGCAGCGCCCCGCGCCGAGGCGGCGCCGGCGCCATCTTAGCGGCGCCGGGAGCTGTGCGCAGCGGCGGCATCGCTGCTGCTTTGTCAATTACTAACGGTAATCTGGGCCCTTCAGGCCTGGAGCAGCAACTGGAAGGCGATATAAACCCAGTCTGGAAGTAGCGAATTTATTAATACACTGGTTTTCCCAAGTACAGAAGCATGGTGGYGAGGGAAACCAAATTGTATTCAAAAGACAGTCTTGATGAGAAAATTATTTACATAACTCCCCCGGACAACAGATTCCTCACAKACAGGCTTTTATTAAGCTTCTCGTGTGTAATTGAGCATATACACTATGTCCGACASGCTAACAACGTCAGCAGGAGCCAGCACTTCCTTCATTTTTACCTCCACGCCTGGGGTAGTTGGGAGTTTCACAGATCTCACACAAATCTCAGTTTTAAGCATGGTGATAAAACATTTGCCAAAAGTTGTGATCTTACAGACRCCACGTGCCAGAAGCATACAAGAATTTAAGCGCACATATAGTGGATAAAGCAACAAGTAGGAGGGCAGATGTTGCAAGATGTCTGTGCAGCAGCATGGCTTGGCGCACCTCTCAAAACGGAGCCCTGTGGCCTCAAGCAGGAGCAGGTGCACAAGGGGTGCAGGCCTTTAACATAAAATATATATATATATTATGGAGCAGAGCTACTTTTAGAGGCTCAKTCTACAGGGCCATCAGTGTTGCTTGACAAACATTTGAGCGCAACTGATGCCCAAAAAAGAAAAACTAAAATACCCTCATGGCCAGGCTTATGCCTTACACTCCATGCTTCTCTAGTGCAAACAGGTTTCAGATGAATCTACTCACAACGCAATAAAATTTTCAGTTAAGTATCTTCACACTTTAAGATCACATATAAAACATGGGCAGGCTTAGTGCACCTGAACTAGACCAACATTACTAGGCATCTTGCTTCCATTTGCAATGGCCCAAAACGCCCCAGGTAGCTGATCCACAGAGCAATGAGCACRTTTCAGGTGTTGAGCATTACCCTAAGCTACACCTGCCGTACAAGGAACAAGCTCTCAACACACCATATTCCCACATATCTGTAATCCTGCCGAGAATAACTTCAGCATGTCGGAGCAGCAGTCCTTTCCTGAGTGGGAAGCGAGCTTCCTAGGTGCGTGTCCCACGTAGGCAACACTTAACTGGAATAATCACAAGCAAGTGAAGTAACAAGCTTCGGTTTGGCAGAAGTAGATTTACAGTGATTAAGTTGAACAGTAGTTACAGACTGAAAAGAAGTTACGTATCCACAGTATATGTACAGTATAATTAACTTCTCCAAAGCRCTTTTTCAATGCTATATTTCAAAGGCTGCCTTCAACTTAGGGAAAAGTCCTTTAAACGCTTGAAAGGCATAAAAATTCCCCTTCCCCCACAAAACCCCCAAACAATATATTTTAGTTTCAAAAAATATCTCAAACCCTCAAACAAGCTTGATATCAATTAATCTGGTAAAACAGCTGGGTGCTGAATAAAAGCACATCTGGTGGCAGGAGCGCGGAGGACGTTACGGGTGTGCTTAGTTTGGCCGGCAGCATCGGCGGGGAGCTCAGTGGGTCTCCTCCGGCGTCTGCTCTGCGATGGCTTCCGTGGCACTAGCGCTGGCGGCGGAGTTCAGGACCTCTCCAAAGTCTCCCCCGGCGGGCTTGCCTCCTCCGACTTTGGACTGGAACACAGGCAGAGTCTCAACATAAAGGTGCAGCTATTTGGCACACCGAGCAAGGCTAGCTGTATAAAAACAGTACCTCTACACCAAGAAGTTTTTTGTTTAAGTGTTTTCAGTAGAGCAGCTTTTCAGTCCTGGGCTAAAAAGGCAAGTCTCAAGTATCAGGTGTAGAAGAATCATTAGAAGCAGCTTAAATTAACCTAACAGCCTCCCTTTGGCGTCAAGACACAACTAGGGCGACACAGGTACCTCTAAATTGTAAAGAGCCTGAAAGTTGACCCATATCCATAGGCATTTAAAGGTGATTACAGCAACACAGCCGTACCAAGCCATGGAGGCTTCAAAACATTGCGTTAAAATCTCTGCATTGCTCCTGCACCATTTTCAGTCTCAGCAACACACCTTGAATTCTCAGATCTTGAGATCTCCCCATCTTGTTCCTACTACATTTAGTGCCTATTTTTAACTGGAAAAGCCATTAATGGTTGTTCCTGGTGCTTAGGGCCTTTGGATTTGAAAGTTATTTGTGGATGGGAAGACCTTACACATTTATGCCAGAAATGTAAGGCAAACCTCCCAGGCTACATACCTGCGTAGCTCACTCATCCTTAGGCAGGCTTGCAATAAGAAGCCTAGACTACTCCGAATATATATTACTAAGTATATTGTATTACCCATTTGCACAGGTTAGGCAGCTAACAGTCCTTTTAGTTAAGGGCACTCTCTTGCAAGAGGCTCAGGATGCTTAATTATGTTCTCCCATTGCTGAGCACAGAAGTCCCAGTACTTAAAAAGAAATCGTCTAAGCTATGACTAAAAAGAAGAAAAAAAAAAAAACCCAGCTATTCAGCCCACTCAAGTGTTTCCCTCACATGCACAGATCCACATTAGCTCAGGCATTTCAGCAGTGCTTACCTTCAAGTTTTCAACTTTCTCCTCAAACGATTTGAAAGTTGGAGAATTTCTAGGAACACACACAAAAAAAAAAAAAATTGAAACCAGCTCTGGTTCATATCATAAGGCAAGGAAATAAATGCTTTTCCAACATCAACATGTCTGCTATGTTATCAGCTCTTTGTTTTTAAGAGTAATCCAAAAATACTTTAGATGCAAATCTCCAGGAGTGCTACAAAACTGAACTTCAAATATACTTAAGTTGCAGTTTATTTTTTTCTTTGAGCTCAGGAAAAAAAAAATAGAAGTCTGCCCTATAAATAACCTTCACCAGTCTCAGTGGTAGGAGCTTGCATCAGAACACAGAAAGGAGAAGTAGGAGGTGTTTTAAAGTTTAACTTATTTTTGCTACCAGTTTCACAGGCCTCTCGCTTAAAGGGCACGTTTCAGAAAAGCTCAGTCATCACTTCTGGATACAGAAGTGCCCTCTTTTTACAATAAGAGAGGTTTTTTGCTTGTTATAAAAAAAGCCAGTGTAATTTAATAAGCTACGTGTTCAATTAACAAACCCTGGTTCACATTGGCATGTTCTGCTAACGTGTTGAAATCAAGGGAGCCTCCCCCCTGCTTTCTAAGTGCTGGGCACAGCTGTGATCACACACAGCCAGGATTGCATCTGCAGAGCAGGACAGCTCAGGATTTACAGCGCTGAGGGCCACGGAAATACCAAGAGGGCCCGGAGAGCTGCTGTGCCTCCCACTACCTACCAGTGCCATTTGCAAATCCGTGCAACAGCCGGTGCACCAGGACCCCACAAAGGGTAATCGTGTGATAAGAAAGAAAGGAGGCTTTTCTGAAAGTGGTTTTAAGCTTCTCCCCTCTCCCTTGCTTGGCCTTCACGTAGATCAGCCACATTTAGCAGCTCTCATTTAGGGAAGTACTCAGTAATCAGCGCGTGCGTCAGACTCTCAGGAGACCGAGGCACAAGAGCAGAGGAGAGGCAAGGGAATTTTTGTCAAGCCACAGGATCTCCTACCCACGTTTCCAGGCTGCTCTAAAATAGTTGCTAAGCTACTGTCTTCCAAACTTGCTACATTTTCAAGGGGCAAGGAAAAACTGCAAAAGAAAAGTTTCAATTCTTAGCTCAATAAAAAAGAAAAAGTACATTTGGTTGCAATCCACATGTGCAACAACCACTAATATTAAGCAGAACAAAAGCTTTTATTTCCCCCTGCATATTTTTTAGTAGTGGTAATTCATTACAAATATAGTTTATCAAATCTGACTCGATTCCACAATTCCACACATGAAAGCAAATATACTCAACATGAATTAACATACGTTACCTCATAATAGGCATGCTAATTGAATGTTGTATGGAGCGTATACTAAGTGGCAGCATTAAGAAAAAAGAAAGCAAGAGGTTAGTTTGAATGATCCACTGACAAGAAACTGGCTTAGAAAGCTGCTTCTGGATACTCCTTTCCAGTAAATAACAAAATATTCTTACACGCTGCTGCGTGTTTGTTTGCCTGCTTGCATTGCTGGGCCATGCACACACGCGAGTACAACACAGCAGAAGCTGCAACATGCTTGCTAGTAAGTGCACAGCCTGCAGAGCTGCAACAGTCCAGTTAGCTTTCTYGAGCAACAAGAAACACGTCTCTACACGAGAAACACGAGCAACTAAAAACTACATTTCTGGTTTGGACGGTATCAGATAGAAAGCAAATACTCAGAGAGTCTCATTAATCAAGTAATCTTCCCACTGAAAGAATTACTCCCACATTCAGAAGGCTTCCAGACCCAATTCAGTGTGAAATTTCCATAGTAATGAATATGGATTATCTAGAGTCACATCAATAGAAAGATCAGTTTAAGGGAAAGGTACCTAAGCTGGAAGAGACCGTTTGCTCTGTCAGACTGTGCTGGTCACAACCTGTTCTTAAATTAACAGAGAACTTCTGTAACGTGTCAGTATTGCTAGATGCTTACTGTGTAGTTACAGCACGTATCTACTTCTATAAATTGAGTGAATATAGTGACTATAGATTAAGCAGCTCCCAGATAGTTTCAAAAATGTATGGAATTGAAGTAGATTTCATGAGTGAGTTACATATTCTGGAAAATTCTTATTTACTCTTGATACAAATGAGGTTAATACGCGAGATGCTTCTTGTCATACACCAGTCATAAAGACTGTTACCATTTTTTTTCCTACAAGGYTTTATAATGTATTTCAGGAGAATCCTTGGCTGGCAATTGCCGGGGGTGCGGAAAACTTTGCCGTGCGAAACCTCCCAAACTCAAATTCATGTCTCAAGACGATGGAGGGTGTCTCACACAAGCAAAAAAGGCTCCACGGTCACTGCATAGGGAATTTTACGGCACTCTTTCAGCAGGCTCATCAGCAGAATGCAGAATAAGAGCAACACACGTGGACAAGTCCCTCACGGCTGGGCAAGTGAATGCAAAGTTTAAGACTGCTTGGTGGGCACGTTAGGCTTGGCAGTCAAATAGTGGCAGGACTGTGTTTGCCCCCCGTCAGTAACATGTAGCCATGACTCACCCCTCGCCCCATTCCTGCTGCTTTTCATTTTTCCGGATCGCTTGGCCCCCACGATGTTTTCCGAAGCACACTGAGGATGGCTGCCTCTGGGCTGTCATTTATATTGCACCGTGCGCCATRGACCACTAGAAAACCTGATTCTGCTACGGGGCAAGTTTTGGCGCAGCGCTAGGCTGAAACGGAGCAACTCTCTGTGTGCAGCCACGCTCAGCCACCTTCCGTTCCCTGTGGGAAGGGCTGCTCCTGTTCCGGATGAAGGAGGGCAGGGATTCCTGCTCCGTGCTCCGTTCTGCGCTCCGCGAGCCCGCTCAGCAGCGGCGGCTGCCTATGGCACGGTGGGGAGCTCGTCCCACCGGCCGCCTGGAGAAGCTGAATTCAGCCCCACGCAGATCATTTAAGGGGAAAGCTCGTGCGTTTGGCGGCGCTAACTCGCTGGYGCAGAGCTCACCTACACTCGGAATCTGCTTTGCAGAGTCCCACCGCAGCAGAGCACACAGTCCCAGCACGGACAGGCTTGCCTGGCACGAGATCTGCACTGGGTCAGTGCTCTGCAACCCCCCAGTCAAATCACCCAGGCTGAAGCAGCGCACAGAAAGCGAGATTAAATGCTGCAAAACTTTCCAAAGAAGTGAACTCCATTTTCATTTTCCCAAATTTTGGAATGCTACTTTAAGGCACTCACTCAACTAAGCCATAGAGCTGAGCATTTTGAAGACTCAAGACCATTTTACAACAATCACAAGCAACTCCCCAGCTTAAAACRAATAAAATCAGAGCACCACAGAAAGCTGCTCTCCAACTTTCGATGTTGCATTTAAAAGTTYGTAGCACTTTACACACAAGTGTTTTATAGTTACTACCTTGACTGACACTTTAAAACTGGCCAGTTARAATATGCCAGAGTCCCTTCCCAGAAAGCATAGCTTAAAAATTCATGAGCATTAGTTAGTTGGTATTAGTTAATAGTTAGGCTTCCAGTCAATAAATGGTGATATTTAGGAGTTAATGATCACATCAGGTTTCCAGAGACACAAGGGAAGGGATTCTAGAGGCCCAGGTGAAGGCTTCAGCCCCGTAACTCCTGCCGCACTGCGTGCTCAGGGGTTAGCAGAGCACCAGGATGCAGCTCCGAGCAGTTTCCCACATTGCCCACAGAAAGGTGGCCAGCTGATCAAGACATTCACACCAAGGGGAATAAAAGCATCAAGGGAAACCTACTAGGGGGACAGAGTTAATTTTCAGCATAACGAAAAGAAAGCAGAGGAAGCATGCACAACAAGAAAACAGTAACGTGCYGACCTTGCACTACAGGTCTCATCTCTCCTTCTCTTTCTGATGACTTTTAATTTCAGATCCACTAGTGGTCTTACTCCCTTTTACAGCCAATTCCAAAATCACCTCACAGGGCGCAAAGACCTGCCCGTGACACTTGCTGCATGGAACAGGTAATAGAGCAGCCACCATGGAGGAGGCTTCTAATCTACATGGACAAGGTCCCAAGCAACCTCACGTAGTTCATGGGCTGAGCTCGGTGACCTCCAGAGCATCATTCCAACCTCAGCTGTGTTATRATCCTCCCATCTTGCTTTCCACCTAGCTCTGAGCAAGCAGCAGAGCTTCAGAGGCAGTGGCACTCTGGCCACGTAGAAGGGGTTGAGACTGAGCTACAGCAGCAGCCCACAGAGAGGAGAAGCTGTTAGAGATGGAGCACTCCATGCTACATGCAGCTCTTCTCATGCATGCTGACCCCCATGGCAACCTCAAGAGTTATTTGGGTATTTCTTGTAAAATCTGTTGGATTTCAGGTCGTATTTCCTTTAGGCATCCTCCTTTTACACACACATGCATTTAGATAAGCATATCATCCTTTAAGCGCAAGTTGTTACTACTGCTTTACAAGCATCAGCTTTCAACTTCCAGCCTTAATACCATAAGCTTATGCACTGTTACATTTAACTACTGAAATCTTTACATTGGATATCTGCTTAAAGTAAGGAGATAAAGGGGCAGGACAGACAAGGTAACTGAACTATTCAGCATCTGCAGCTGCTGAAGTAATTGTTCAAAGGTAAGGACAATTTCAGAGGACAAACTCTGACCAGAGAATGCATAAAAYATTTTGCATTTAGACTCTACTATTACAGCCACCGTGCCAAATGCTGCAGTAGACACCAGGAGGGGAAACTGCTCTTCTATCGAGGTACAAACACTGCATGGACAAAGAACAGAAGGAATTCTGCTTGCCATTGACCTCTGAACTGCACCCTGTCTCTTCACCATTTTAACAGCGTCCTTTCTTATGAGGGAAGGGGGAAGAGAAGAAAATAGAAAAGAAAGTAAAAAAAAAAAAAAAACAAAGAAAAATATACAGAGAGGGAGATGAAGAGCATGGGACCCAGAGGGTGACCGTGGGAGTACGGAGTGAGAGGACACACACGGGAGAGCGAAACAGCCAACRCATGCGACACGGTCAGGTATTCTCAAAACCCCCCTTTGGGACACTTACTAAACGAACRTGAAAAAGCATCTTCCGTGACATTACAAGAACTACAGTTTTGCATTTCCTAGCGCTGCAGAAGCAAGTTACTTTTACAGACAAGAGATAYGATTGGAGACAGGCTGTCTACATGCTTCATTTCAGCAGTAACAATTCTTGTGCCCACCTTACCTAAAGGAATGTGAAAATGCTTGCAGTCTGCACAATGCCAAAGTAAGCAGTAAGGAGAGAAAGGAAGTTCTGATAAATCTGAAGKATTTAGCTATGTAGCTGCACCTCAAAGTGGTTTTTTTTTCCCCTTAGACAAGCAAAAAAGAGGTTAATGGCAGCACTTCAACACAGAGGGCTGATTTTATTACGTTGTTTTCCATTGCAACAATATTCTCTTATAACATGATTCTAATTTGCTCAATAATTGAAAAATAAAATTGATGTACTCTTCATGGTATGTTACAACCAGAGATGAGCAGTTTCATATGTTCCAAAAGCAAGACTTATGCTTAATTTACCKTTTTTACTTCATTATATATGACTGAATGACATTCAGGAAGGTGTTTCATGAAGCTCGTAACACCCTGCTAAAAATAACCACCAAACTTGTCCTGCTTTGCATGAGAGGCCGGGCCATTTGACACGGAAGGCCAAATGAGCTTTGGCACGCTAACACGTAAGAGTTAACAAACACAAACGGTAATAAAATCAAGCCATTTCTAAGAGGTAGAACGGCATACAAAAAAAAAAAAAAAAAATCAAACAAACATGACTCAAGGAATGCAAACGTCAAGACAAAAAAAAATGTTCAAGGGCAGCATTCCAAGGACTGGGAAAGCCAGAGCAGAGAAATGACGATGCTAAGTGCAAGGGTAGGCAAAGACGCTGATGTCTGCAACGCTACCGGACAACCAAGCAGAAGAGCAGTGAGGAAATGGCACAAATCATTTCTTTTTGCACGCACAAAATAGACACCCTTCGAGGCCTCTGCCCAAGCGAGGCCACACGAGCCAGTCATTACACGCTCCTAAAACACATGCTGAAGGTTCCTGACAGATGAGCTTGGAAAAAGCCAGGTCTGTTAAAAGCATGGGCTTACTTCAGGGATTAGCTGTTTAAAACCAAAATGCAACTGTTTGGGAAGAGTTARAGAAACCTACCTGACATCTTCAAACTTCTTGGTTATGACGGAGCCAACAGAGGAAAAAGCAGCAGAGGCCTTCTGACCAGCCTGAGACAGGGTTTCTGAGGTCTTCTTGTAGCTGGGTTCAAACACAAATAAGTCTGCAGTTATCTTAGTAGAACACATAAGGAAGCTTTTAGTGTACTTAAATTTGTGTCAAACCCAAAGACAGATATTGAGGGGTCTTTGAGCGCTCTGTTCTGTGTGGCAAGAGCTGTCTTAGAATCTCCCATACTACAATGGCTCATTCTTATTTTCCACAAGATGACTCGAAGGAATCTTACAATAATTTATCCAGGTAATTTTTAGCACAGCTTAACTTTGCACCATCTATTTAGCACCACCTAGTCCCACAGAACAGCAAGCTCAGGCACAAAATGAGAGCTACACCGTTTTCACCTGAGCGGCTGACACAGACTATCATGAACTGRTACGTACGCTGTGGTCGACGTGACATCTTGCCAGCTTTTGGTGATGTTCTGCTTGAATTCCTGCAGTGAGTTAATTCCCAGCTTCCTCTTGATTTCTGCTAGATGCTTCTCTTTGGCAGCCAGTACTTGTGAGAGYGTCTGGATCTCTTCTTCTACCTAGGCAGCACAGTTGAGGATAGAAGATAATAACTGATCTAAACAACAATTTAACTACATATTTATAATATATCTGCTATTCATGGGTCGTGAAGAAGTTGACATGTTTCTAGTGTTGTTTCAGTTGCTTCAAAATTCTGAACAGGAAATCTAATGTACTCTACAACCAGAGCCAGCTGGTCACATATAAATATCCTTGTAGCTATTCCTGTTACTGTAGTATGAAAAAGGAATTCGGCAGCTCTAAAAACCAGKATAGTTAAGAGACAAGATAGCTGTCTAGACCAGACATCCATCCAACCCCACTGCCTCATCCAGACTGGACCATCATTTCTAAGAAGAAAGGCTGGCCATTTATTTAAATTCATTTGTGGAAATGATATCCTGAGTGCACTTCTACTTTCAGGACTTCTGCCCAGCGTGATGAACCGTGGCTTCCCCCACAACGGACTGGTTCGACATGGAATAATCCTCAGGACTAAAACCAACACTGCATTAAACAGTTATGTTGGCATTTCACACCTAAGTCAAGTACACTAATCTGAGGCACAAATTCTGTCTTATGCATCCTTTGGATCACATAAAAAGGAATCACATAAAGSATCCCTCAAGTCACACAGAGTTACAAAGGAGGAAAGCCAGGCCACTCAGTGCTGCTCAAGTTTATCAGCTTCGAAACGCATGTACCCCCCTCAAGCATTTAGCTCTCCTTTGAAGAACGTTGCTTTAACTTGACCTTAAATATTYCTTCTGCTACTGTGAGTTACAGATAAGAATAGTTACGGGGTTAGTCATTAGCAAGGCAGTGCACACACGTTATTGCCAACTRTCCTTCATGCAAAGAACAGGTCCAGTCACTCTACCCCAGTGGAGACAATTCTTAGTTTCAGCTTCCATCTTCATGCTCTTTGACAGCTTATTTAATCCCTTTTCTCACTTGAGAGAGAACAGGGTTGGACATTTACAYGCTTTGGTTTGAGCCCTGTGTGCTCAGCACTTCCAGCTCAGTTCCCACAGGAGGAACTGGACGTGCTCTTCTCCTTGGCACCTTTCATATCCCTCCCCCAAACGCCCAAGTCCTGCACGCGGCCTCCAGCAGCCACCAGCTGAATACACAAGGCAGTAACACTGTGTTCAGTCACTGCAACAGCAGCATCACCCCAGGGTTTCCCTCTCTAGACCAGCTTGACAATTATTTCAGAGACACTAGCAGCTTTACCTTAGCAAGTTCTTTTCTCAGCTCGTCCTGTTCTTCTTCTGACAGCATGTCAGACATACCGACCGTAGCAGCAGCATCCTCTCCAACCTCGGGTATGGAGTCCGTCTGCAGCAGCCCTTGAGGTAAAGGAACCAGGAGAGGTCACATCATCRGCCCTTGAGGTAAAGGAACCAGGAGGGGTCTCCAACCCGTGTGCCACAGGGATGGCAGCTGGATGTTGCCGCACACTCCTGTGCCCGCGCAGAGGGGAAGCGGCTGGGAGCGGAGCCCGGTGCCCACGTGGTGTACCCGGCACACAGGGAACGGGGCCATCCCCCCGGCTGGGTTCTGCCCAGCTGCTTTAATGCTCAGCGCTCACAGAGCCGCGGACTGTGACCCTCGGAGGGAGCTGGAAACACCCTGTGGAGGGAGCCGGGAAGGGCAGAGGAGGACGCGGCCRCGCTGACAGGAGCCGGGGAGCCGCCACTCTCTGCGCAGCCCGCGCTGCTCCGGCCACCTCGGGCAGCGCTTGGCGCCTCTCCCGCCCTGCCCTGCCGCGCCAGGACACACGGAGCCGCCACAGAGGCCCCCGCCTTCACCCTGCTCTTTGGGAGCGAGAAAAAGGCCTGTTCCTGGCACGCTGCTAACCGGAACGGCGCCGCTCCGCAAGCGGGAGCCCTCACACCCGGCTCGACAGGCCCGTCACCGCTCCCTGCGCCGGGGCCGCCTCGGCACCAGTACTGCACAGCCACGGGGGAGCCACGGCTTTCCTCCCCACGTCACAGCCGCTCCGTCTTAAACACCTTTTAATGCGGCTGTGTGCAAGTCAGTAAGGCAGAAATGGGAAAGGGCTGTGCAGGCCTTCTCCACGTGTTGGCTAGTTACACTGCTAAAAACAGGCCGATGCTGAAGCGTTTAAGGTATAATACACAGGAGAAGCACCGCTCTCTTTCCCTTCATAGAGGAAGGAACATATTTATCCAGACAAGATGAGGACACACCATATAACATACCCTGACTAGTCACTTGGGTGATTACCCATAAAATTCCCTCMTTACAGCAGCTCATGCTGGCAGTGCACAATACCACGTAGCCCAGGGATCAGACAGCTCAGGGAACCATGAGACCACCGTATCATTTCTGTTAGACTCAACATCAATTAACTACCACACAATCAATCAAAAAGTCTGGGGAAAAAGGAAGATTTTGCCAGGCCGAAAGGAGCTGCGCCAAACCTGCTCCTAGCGGTCGASAAGCCTGAAAAATGAATGTCCTTTTTTATTTTTCCTTGATTCAAGTAAAGCTCAGTTCCACAAATTCTTTCCATAACAGTATTTTACTGTTTGTAACAGTATGGGCAGTATTTTTTGCCTGTATTCATATCCAGAATATTTGTCCTCTATACTGCGACATGGACAGAACATTTTAAGAGTGAAATTAACCATGCAGTATACAGATAAGCAAGTGTGTAGAAAATAACTTAAATCCATTCTGCAAGCTTTTAATTAGGACATCTATACCATATTTTTCCAGAGATTTATGTCTGTCTTCTAGATCGACATACCATKATTTCTATAGGTTTTCTGACACATTTGAATGACAGGCATCTAGGGTAAAAAAAGAAAAAAAACCACACCACAATGCTTTAAGACTAGTGTCCAATGGACAGGCACCAGCCAYTACAGCACTAAATTCATACCTTACAAACTTCATTTAAATATTCCATTAGCCTATATCCTTTTCTTAACATCAGGCCGTCGAAAATGTCTTTCTGTTGTTGCTAAATGGCAGTTTGTGCTGTTACTTTCCATAGGAGAAGAAGAACGGGAGCAATTCCGACTGCTTTTTCCTTGATGCTCTACAGTCGCTCTACATTAACCTCTTTCCAAACGCTGACCTCGTTCCAGCTCTGCAACCCCTCTAGAGGCTACAGAACTTACCATTTCAAAAGGGATTTCCGAAAATTTGCAAGCACCAAAGATCACCGAGTACAGAGCATTAGCACATCCCACTGAAAGTCTCTTCAATCTGGTTATGAAGAGTCATCGGGATTATCCCGCTGAAAATAGATCAAATGAATTTAGTGGGAGGAAAACATGCTGGATTGCCTCCCATACTCGCAGCTTCTATTTGGGGAATAAATCWTACTTTTAGAAAACTGGTGTTTTCAGGGGGGTTGTGCTGCTTCCGGCCTACACTCATCTTACGATCCAAAGCTAAGAAGTTAGGGATAGACCTTCCCTCCCCTTCCTACTTCTAGATCCTTCAAGAAGGAAATTGCTGCTAGTCAGCATCCTCAATGCCTCATCTCRTACATCTCACCTTCTTCCCGCCATCTCCTTCTCACAGTTTATTACTTCAATTCCAATTTTAGGCTCTAGCATCCTCCAATTGCCTTTATTCTGGTGCCATGCCTCGCATCCCTGCTCCTTGCTTTACTCCCATTTCCTCCACACATGCAGGATACAGGATGGACCTGCACCACTACAGCTGGGCAGGAAGAGCTGTCCAGCCTCAAACCAGCCTGCAAACCTCCACAGCAGCCTGGCCTCAACCCCAATTCACCATGTGAGATGGTGTGGAGAGGCAACGAAGCCCTGGCTACGASGCAGCTTCCTACAGAAGGAGGCCCCCACACCTCGGACCTCCATAGATGGGATGGAGAAAGCAGGAGAGAAGCAGCCAGATGGTGCATGGAAACAGTTCGGCTCAACCTGGAGTCAAAAAGGCCTTTCCCCCATATGCGGTTCCCTYTGCTCCTGCAGAAGGCTGCTTGCCGGCTCCCAACCTTTCACTGCATTCTTCCTCTCGGGATGCAAGGGGAGCAAACCACTTCCGGAGGGCTCTGGTATTCCAGAGGCTGTAACCACGTTGAGCGCTGCCATTTCACACCTCTTAAACGTGGTGACAATTGTGGAGAGGGAAATCCAATACTGGGAATGTTATTGTCTTATCTGGTGTTAAGGTCAGCTGTTAGGAGCCTGAGCTAAGATGCACATGCTCCACCTTCTCYGTTTACTAGATGGACTGAAACGTGTCCATGTAAAGGCACCAAGAACTCCAATGGCCAGGACTCTGAAAAACACATTCCTGAGCAAGCAAGGAAATAAAAAGTTAATGCTCTATTAGCCTGTATAACAGGCAAAGCAGTAGAGCCATTCAACCTACATCCAAGACTTTCTGGTCTGAAACATGTTTGTGATTTGGTCGATCGGTCGGTCGATTTGGGGTTTTGTTTTTCCTTTTCTTCTTTTTCRCCTCAGCCCAAGTTCACACTCTGTTTTGACCTGAAGCTCCTACCTTTTTTTTTTCTGGCCTGACTTCACAGACTAGCAAGAAACATCAGTCATTCAAGGAAGTAACAGTCATTTTAGAGCAGCAGCATCTGGAGTTTAATCTTTAGACAGACATATTTTGTGTCAGGCAGAATAAACATTTTGGCAAGTTCCGTACAGCTGGCAAAGCTAAAGAAAGGAAAAAAAGGGCTCGCTGAGTTCAAGAGTACAAACTCTTACAAAATTTTAAGCTCTTTCAAACACTTAAGCAATCGCAGCAGCGACAGCACCACAGAGCATGCCCATTTTGCAACACGCAGGAACTGGTTTGCCTTCCCAGGGGCAAACTCGTATTTCTGCAGCTCGGGGAAGCTCGGTCTTCAGCTCTCCCAGACCCAGGATCACATACTCATTTAAAGGGAATACAGAGAAAGGAAAGGCTGCTCCTCATCCTGATGCCTTGCTACCAGAGACGAAGAGCAGCTTCTCCCCCTCTAGAGGAGGGGACGACGCCGGAACTAAGGGCAGAACGGGCTGAACTCGGCTCTTTGGAGGCCAGATCGTTCACGGAGCTGACGGAGCGGTTTTAGCTCCTGCAGGGAGGTTGTAGCTGCTGCTTGACAGACTTGAGGCAAGCAGCCCACGAGAGGGGCAGCCCCTCTGCCGCCGAGTCCCGCTCTGCYGCACCTGAGACAGGGCTAACACCCTCTGCTTTTCCGAGGAACCTCGGAGAATCCCGCTCTGGGAAGMGTGACGTGCGGCCCTAGCGAGGAAGGCAATTAGCAGGAGGTAAGAGCAGCACGGAAAGGAAAAAAAAGTGGCAAAAAGTGGCTATTTTGTACAACAGCTTATCAAGTGAAAGCTAGTGTGGTTGGGCATTTGATGGAGGCTGCTCCTCGCTGCCTCAGAGAGGCACCTACAGCCCGAGGATTTACAGCCCTTTTAATGCGAGGGGGAACACAGTAAAGGTCTTAAAGGTAGTTTTCTGAATCAGGGAGATATTTAATACAAACGCAACAGCAGATAAAATACAGAGAACTACGGAGAAGTTATAAAGTAAGTAATTACAACCTCAAAAAAAAAGGGGGCAAACTAGGCCAGTTGCCTCAACCCTGCAGAAGTTCTTCCTAATTTTTTGCTCATTTAGCTTTCCACAAACAGCCTTTCTACCGAGTCTCAACCAAACTGCACAGCTTCTTAAATTGAGAAGTTCCTTTTTTTTTTTTTAAATGTTTTTTTTTAAATTATGTTTTTCCCCCCTCTCCTCTCACCACAGGCACCAGCCACTCAAACCTGCCGTGGGGCTGTTCCTAAAGAGAAAAACGAGGAAGTTACCGGAGCTCTTGAGCACGGGGGATCCGGGCGGTGAAACGTTGATACCAGGTGACAGGTAAAGGTAGCTCCTGTTCACTCCAGAGTTGAAGTCAAACGGCGACTTGTAATCCTCGTGGAGATCCATGCCCGTCAGCGGGCCCAGCCGCGTGCTCCCTCCGGGAAAGGGCTCATCCCGCCTTTCGGCAGGGCCTCCCGCGCCCGCAAATCCGCCCTTTCCTCACCAGGAATGCGCCCGTGGGATTCGGCTGGATTTTACGCTTCTGCCAGGCTGGGCACAGGCCACCCAGCCAGCGATTCCCGCACCGTGTTCCCGCCGCTGCCGTTCACATGGCGCGAGGTGAAGTCCCTGTGAATTTATAACCGGGGCTGGGCTTAAGCAGGCCGTTCCTTCCACAAACATTCGCAGGACACGGCTCACGGGCTTCCAGGGAAAGGACCGGCATCTCCCGCCGAATTACATCAACTATTTTCAATCATTTGAATAAATAAATAAATAACTAAAGTCAGCTGACCGCAACCTCACCAGGATATCCTTAATCTTCTGGGAC